AGCTAAATCCCCAGCACACTTTTTAAAATATTAAATCAAATATGCATTTTGGTTATGCAGCTCACTTGGTTATAATGTATTGCCCAATTTTTATGTTATCATATATCATAAAATGTGCTAAAATTTTAAGAATTGCTGCATCTATGCTCATGAAGGAAACTGATGTGTAGTTTTTCAGTTTTAACTTTCAGTTTTTGATAGTACGTGGGATTGAACTCAGGGCCTTTACATTGTACTATATCCCCAGACCTTTTGTTATCAGTTTTAAAAATTTTTGAGACAAGGTCTTCCTAAGTCACTGAACCGTTCATTCCTACCTGAGACTCCCAGAGTGCTGAGATTAAAGGTATGTGCTACCATGCTGAAAAACTTTTCTGTTCTTGTACTTTTGTATGTATCCAGCTTTTTGGAATCAGGGAAAGGTCTGTGGCATAAAATTATATCAGCAGATCGGGGAAACAGCTCAGTGCCACAGCACCTGTCTCACAAACGCAGAGTCTTGAGTTTGATACCTGGTCTTCCCCCAAATTTTTTTTAAATTAAAAAAATTAAAACAATTTAAAAAATTTTAATTAAAAAAGATCTAAAATATTGTGTGAGAATCATTCCCTGCCCTTATATTTTCTGAATGAAATTTTGCAAGATAGACATTATCTCTTAAATAAATGTCTCATGGAATTCATCAATAAAGCCTTCTGTAGCTGAAATTTTTTTCTTGGAATAATCTACAAATCAATTTCCTTAATATAAACACTCTAATCGTATTTTCCTTTTTAAGATATTTTATTTATTCAACCACTTATTAATCTTGAATGCTTATTTTTGAGTAAATGTTTCCATTTTACCTAGGTTGTCATACTTTTATGTTATATAGGTACTAATAATATTCCCTTAGTGTTGATTAATGTTTTTAGAATAATTTCTAATATTGGTAATTTGTGCTTACACTGTACTTTCTTATCAGTATTGCTATCAACTTATCAATTACTAACTTTTGGTTGTGTAAGTTTTTGTATTGTTTTCCAGTACATAGATATTTGTTCTTACTCTTAATTTATCTTCCCTTTTCTAGCTTCTTAAATGGGAAACTACAAGAACAAATTTTAATCTTTCCTCTTATCAAATATGAGCATTTAATGTTATTTCACATTTAAGCCCTACTTTTTATGTCCCTCTACAGTTTTCAGTTGTTGGCTTTTAAGCAGAAGGCTAGAAATATTTTCTAAGTTTCCTGATAATTAAATCCTTCATTTATTAGAATGATACTTTCTAGTTTCTATACAGTTGAAGACATTATTTATATTTTATTGTTATGATTGCTTTATTTTTATATTGTATGAAAAAACAAAACAAAATTCCATACTAAGATAAGAGAATAAAAATGGTACAGTGTATAATTACTTTGAAAATACTTACTCGAGTACAAGACATACACAAAAAGATTCTCTTTCATAGAGAAGAAATAAGCAGATAACGGAACAAACCTTTCTTTTAAATGAAATAAGAGAAATCAGTAGTATAAATATAACAAAATAGAGTATGTATTGCAATATCGTTATTGATTTCCTACTTATTCCATTATAGTCAGAGTATATAGAGAAGTTTTCATTTAGTATGTATAGGGTCTCATTTTGTGGCCCATCATATAGTCTATCATGGTAATATGTTTGATATGCCCTTGAAATAATTTGTACTCTATAGTTGTTGGATGTAGTATTCTTTATATGTTCAAAATGTCTATGTTGTTAACAACAATGCAATTCAATTCATCTATTTCTTTACTAACATTTCTCCTAGTTTGTTGAATGAATGAAATAAGAGCATTAGAATCTACCACTATAATTGTAAATTTGCCTGTCCCTTTAATTTTGTTATATTTGGTTTTATGTTTTCGGTTTTGTTCTTATGTTTACTAAATAGTCTTTTGTGTTAAAAAGAGGAGAAAAGGTACAATTTTTTAATACTCAAAGCAAATATCATTTCTAATGCTTTTAATTACACACTTTATCTAATTCCTTTAGCATGAATTTATTTATGTATTTATTTTTCTGTAACTTTCAAAATATCTGAATTTCGCCTTTGTTTTTGAAGTATATTTTCACTGTATGATAATTATATTTGCACATTTCTTTAACTTCTAATGGTATTTTATAATTGTACATCATCCAGTCTTTCTTGAGAAAACCCTATCATTACTCATATAATTGTTCCACTGTAGATAAGGTGAAACTTTTCTCTAGTTTTAATGACTTTTTAAATCTGTTTTTTCAGTAGTTTTATTATGATGAGGCTTTATGTCAAATTTCTTTGTTTTAATCTTGTTGAGTTCTGTTGAACCTCTTATACCTCTGAATTTGTATTCTGCAGCTATTGTGGTGAATTCTTCCCATTATTATTACACCATTACTATTTCTATTCCCTTGACATATTTATTCTTGATATGTTTATGGCATTCAATTTACATTTATTTCAGAATATTTAATATTGTCATGCAAGTTATTGAGATCCTATTCATTATTTTTTCCTTCTGGGTTCCTCAGATTAGATCATTTTTTGTAACTTAAAATTTTCAGTTCACTGATTCTTTCTTGTATCATCTCAATTCTGCTCTTAAGCCCACATAATGAACTTTCTTATGTTTTGCTTTTCAAATCTTTTTTTTTAATATGTTGTTTTCAGTACTGTTCTGACTCTTTACCTGTTCACTTGTAAGCGGATATTCTTTTGTTTACTCAAAAATAATTTGTCTTATCTGCTTTATATCTTTGTTTAAAAATACTAGCATCTATGTTACTTGGAATGGATGTTAGAGTTGTAAGAATCAAACCCAAAATTTTGCAAATGGGAGGCATCTACTCTACCACTGAAGTAACCCTCCAGCCCTATATTATTTAAGATTTGGTTTCCCTTGTTTGATCATCTTCATCATCATAGATCATTCGTAATTGGCACATTTTTATCTTTTTATAAATGATAAAAATTTAATTTTCTATCTCTAGAATTCTAAGTTCCAGAATCTATAAATCTTATTTAAAGTCCATTATGTAAAAACAGATTCAAATTCTAACTGTGCAACTCCACAGCTGGATGTTTGGGCATTGAATTTAATCTCATACTATGTATTTGTTCACTTTTTAATTGACAAGTTTTAATTGAATTATGGACTTTGTGGGCTATATGGAAAGACTCTGGAGTCTCTTTTCTTCTGAACAACATCATTTTAAAAAATAGTTAATTCATCTGAACTCACATTTACAACTGTTTCCCCTTCATTGGACAGCACTTAAATTTATACTTCATTATTTTAAGCTGCACGCTATTTCTTTTTGCATGGTTGTAGGAATCATTCCTTATGTGTCTAAAGTTGAGGATTTGCAATAATTTAGGTGAAATTTTCAGGAATATTTTAGGCTCTCAAAATTGTGTTTCCTTCATTCTAGAATATCTTCCCTCACTTTCTAGCCATTCTGACATCCTCAGCGTTTTTCTTTGATTTTTCAGGCTGGTATGTCTATGTCTATAGCTTTTGTCATAGTTTTGGGCAACTTCTGCCATGGAGATTGAGAGTTGTATTCAGGAGAAGAAAGCATATTAATGTATATTCAGCCCATATAATTTATTTCTTTTAAGAATAAAATCTTCTTCACCTCTTCCTTTGGTCACTTTCTTGTGTCAAAACATAGTTATTAATATTTTGTCCAGAGTGCTTAGTTCTTAGTTCTAATGGTTCAATCTGACAAAATATATGGCACTATTATCTGAAATTAATCACTCCTAAGTGTTCTTAGCACTATAGAAAGCAGCTTACTACAAAACAGCACCCTTTAAACAAATGATACTCATATGTCTTCTGTACAGTACACTACTCACTTAACAGCTGTTCTGGTTATTTTGTTAAGGGGAAAGGTGGGTTACATGATCAAATGAGCCCTGGATGGTACTACAAAACAAGCCGAAAAATAGGTCTGTTTGCTCCAAGATTTTAAGCATTTTGAATATGCCAATAGATCTTCTATATTCCTAAGCAATGTAAATCCTACAGATATTGTGTCTAACCTTTCCATACATAACTAGTAAGCTCACTTATTCACTCAAAAATATTTATGAGTTCCAAAGTGTAGAAATTACAGAATGATACTCTCTTTTAGATTAATTCTTGCTATATTACAATTCACTATCATTTTTTAATTTTCAAATTTTACTGCCAGTCACTGATTCACAATGCATATGTTAAAGCTTTACATTCTCACCAATACTCTTTTGTAATCATCATATCTATGTATTCAGAGAACACTGTATGGGAAAAGTAAAATAAAACCAGATATACATCTATCATTATTTTACATGGATTAGATAAAATTATATGAAATTTCCCAGCATGGTATTCCATTAGTTTCCATTGCATTTCCATAGTATTCCATTAGATTAGTAGTTTGATAAATATTTAAGTTGCTTCTTAAGTGTCTTCTGCATCTTTTTGCCTATTAAGTTAGTGATTTCAACAAAATAGATAAGAGGTAAACAGGCAACAGTTCTCAAGTCAAATACCATCACAGGCTTATTTTAAAAGGTCCAAGAGCTAAGAATTCTTTGGGTGGCTTTTAATAGGCCATTTTTAAAACTAAGAAAAGAAAAGCTTTTGGCACAGTTCAGTGACAGTAGAATTATTGCCTCACATGTGGCAGGGCCTGGTTTCCATTCCCAGCACTGCAAAATAAGCATAACCAACCAAAAACAAACCAAAAATATCAGAAACGAAAATGTCACAGAGACTTTCTGTGCCCCAGAAATCCTAAAATATTTACTATGTGCCTTTTTATAGAAAATTTTTGCTAATCTTTGAGATGCAGACTACTATAAAATAAGCTCTCTAAAATAAACACTCTAGTAGTTTATTTTACTTGCTTATGTTCTTAGATGCAATATCTATTTTAAAATATCTAAAATGTCAGTAGTTTAATAGTTGTACTAAGTTTACATAGGACCACATCATATTTTACCTTTTCTCCTTTTACACCACTACAGTCACACTTTGACCCTGGAGAACACCCATAGCAAACCTATAAAGAAGAGAAAGAGTGGGAAATTATTAAACACAAACTGGATAATCATACTATGACTTAAAACTTAAGTGAATTCAGCAATCTATACATGTAAACCAAATGCGAGGAAAAATATCTGAAAGAATATCCACAAATAACAAACAATGATTACCTATGTAGAACTTTTCATTACATACATCTTAGTATACTCATTAAAATTAAAAGTCTTGTTAAAAAGACATTACAATGAAAAATGAATTAATGTAATTTTCTTGTAATATGATTTGTCATTTTCCAAGTTCTAAGAAGTAATTTTTCTCTTAACATTACTTGTAAGAAATCATCTTTAAACTTATTAGAAATAACTTTATCAACTACCCAAGAATGGCTAACACTTTAAGTCAACTCGTTTCTCGGCATTCACAGATTGAACAGAATATTGCACACAGTGGGAAGTCAGAAAAAAATCAGAAATATCTATCCTAATTTCAGACAAAATGATCACAAGAGACAGAGATGATTAATACACATTAGACAACTAAACAATTATTCATGAAGAAATAAAAATTGCAAAGGCATGCACACCAAATGTTGGTATCCAGTTTTATAAAACAAAATAACTAGGCATAAAAACCAGATAAACACCAATGCAATTATAGTGGAGGACCTAAATACCCAACTGCACCAGACACATCAACTAAGTGAACAAAGAAACATCAAAGTAGAAACAAACCTTCAGCAAATGGACTAAATAGGTACCAACAGAGTGCTTCCCACCAGAACAATAAAATACACATTCTTCTCAGCAGCACATTAACTTTTCTCTAAAATGGACCACATGCTAGCTCAGAAAGCATGCTTAAGTAAATGAAAACCAACCAAATTATCCCATGCCTGTTATCAGATCACAGAGCAATGATACTAGAAATCTATGGTAAATATATATATATGAAAAATCATGAAAATTAAAAAACATGTTCTTGAATAAACAATTGGACAAAGAAGAAATCAAGAAAGAATTTAGGCAGTGTCAGCAAAACTTACCAGAACCTATGAGACACAACAAAAGTAACAAGAAACTTATAGGTGTGATTCCCCACATCAGAAAAGCAGCTTGAGCCTAAATAAATAACAGTGATGCACCTTGAAGTCCTACAAAAATAGGAACAACCTAAATCCAACACTACAAGGAAAGAAAGTATAATCATCAAAAGATATTAATGAAATTAAGACTAAAAAAATACAAACACTAATGAATTGAGGAATTGGTTCATTGAAATAAACAAAGTTGACAAATTTCTAGCTAATTGCATCAAAAAATGAAGAAGAGACATTAGTCAAATCAGTGAAATTTTAAATGACAATGGAAAAATCAGACTGCTAAAATTCAGAAGACAATTAGCGACTACTTTGAGAACCTATACTATAATAAAATGGAGAAATCAGAAGAAATAGATACATTTCTCAACACATGTGAACTTTCAAAGCTGAGTCATGAAGCTCAGTGAATAAATCCTGAGTGAATAAATATTAGGAAATTAAATTTAATAAGTTATTTAAAAAGCTATCAGCTAAGAAAAGCTCAGGTTCTGATGGCTTCACTGCCTAATCCTACAAAAACTTCAAAGAAGATCTAATGTCAACATGCCTCAAACTCATTAATGAAATTGAAATGGAAGGAGTACTTCCAAACTTATTCCTTCATTTCAAAACCAGAAAAGTATCTAATCAAAAAAATAAACCCATAGGCCAATCTATATAATGGACATAGACATACAAATCACCAACAAGATACTGGCACACAGAATGCCACAAATCACCAAAGAGCTAAAATATCATGACCAAATAATATTCATTCCATGGATGCAGGATGTTTCAAAATAAGCAAATCAATAAATGTAACATACCACATAAATAGAAGCAAGGGGAAATAATCATATGATGAGATTGCCACAATTTACTAAGACAAAGCCTTGCACAAAACCCAACAATCATGCTTGACAAAACCCTGGAGAAAATTGTTTTAAAAAAGGACCTAATCTCTATGCGATAAAAGCCATTTACAGCACACCAATGGCTAACATCATATGAAATGGAGACAAGCTGGAACCATTTCCTCTAAAATCACGAACAAGACAAGAATCTCTGTCATTACTACTCCTGTTCAATATAGTTCTCCAAACATTAGCTAAAGAAATCAGACAAGAGAAAGAAATAAAGAGAAATAAATAAATACATAGGAAAGGAAGAATTTAAATTATTATTATTTGTAGATAACATGATCCTGTACATAAAAGTCCCAAAAATTCCACCAAGACTCACGGAATTCATAATCGCATCCAGCAGTGTATAGGATACAAAATGATCACACACACAAATATTGGTAGTGATACTGTACAACAATAATAAAATCATCAATTATAAAATTATGGATATAATGCATTTCACAATAGAAGCAAGAAAATATACATATTTGGGGATTAATCTAAACAAGGAAGTGAAAAAATTTACAGTGAAAACTGTAGTACTACATTTTAAAACACAAAGATTAAAGATGACATCAGAAAATGGAAGGCTACCCACTGTTTGTGAATAGATAAAACCATAGTAAAAATGACTACACTTCCAAAACTGATACATAGACTTAACACACAATCACAGTCAAAATACCAATGATATTCCTTGCAGTAAAAGATAATACAGTCTTAAAACTCATACAAAACCAGAAGAGACCTAAAATGACTAAAGCAAAACTGAACAAAAACAGTAAGGCAAGTGGAATCATAATCTTAGGCTTCAAATTATACTACAAAGCTACATTAACTGCACAGTACTGGCCAAATTTTTGTTGAGGAACACTAGAACAAAACAGGGGATGCAAACATAACTCAACAAATAGTCACTTACCTGATGTTTAGCCAGGGGGCCAAAAACTTACACAGGAGGAAACCCTGGGTCTTTAACAAATGGTGCTTGGAAAAACTGTGTACCCACATGCAGAAGACTGAAGATAGACTACATCTATCATTATGTACCAAATTAAAGTCAAAATGGACCCAAGAATTAAATATTAAATAGACACTCTAAACTTTCTGGAAGATAGTATCAGTAAAATTCTTGAAGACATAGGCATAAGCAAAAACTTTCTAAACAAAACCTCAATTGTACAAGAAATAACATAAAAAATCAACAAAAGGGATCATAACAAATTAAAAAGTCTTCTGCACAGCAAAATAGTCAACAAATTGAAAAGACAACTTCAATATGGGAAATTTTTGGCAGTTTTTTCTCAGACAGAGGACTAATATCTAGAATACATGAAGACTTCAAAAATTAAATAATCCAAAATAGAAGACCCAGCCAAACAAAATGGGCAACTGAAATTAACAAACATTTCTCAGAATAAGTACACAAGGTGAAAAAGTCTTCAACACACTGGCCATTCACGAAATGAAATTAAAACAACACTGAGATTCTATCTTTCTCCAGAAATGAAAATTATCATCAAAATTTAAATAATAGCAAATGTTTGCAAGGATGTGGGCAAAAAGGAATATTTCTTCACTGCTATTTGGAGCATAGACTACTCTAAACACAGTGGAATCAGTATACTGATTCCTCAAAAAAAAAAAAAAAAAAACCTAAAAATTCCATTTGACCCACCTATTCTCTTCCTAGGTATCTGCTCAAAACAGTTAAATAAATTATGTTATAACGCTACAAGCTTACCCGCCTTTATAGTAGCACATATTATAGTAGCTAAAGTTTGGAATCAGCATATATGTGTATCAACAGAAGATTGAGTAAGAACATTTTGCATTTATAGTCAATAGAGTGCTACTCTGTCATAAATAAATATAAACGTGAGACATCTTGGGAAAATGGATGCACTTTGATATCACAATATTAAGTGAAATAAACCAGGCAAACAAGCTTAAATATTACATAGCTTCTATTATGTGAGAAATCTAAAACATAAATAAAATAACACACAAAATGGGGACATTTTTCCAGGGGCATGGGTGGCAACAGCCCCAGACCAGTGTGGCCTGGAACAAACAGGAGCACCAGCAGGAGCAGCGTAAGTGCAACCCAGAACCACCAGCTGCACTGATGGGAGTGACCTAGCAGAGGTGAGACATTGTTTTGTGAGGGGTCCCACAAAATCAGTAAGAAAAATCTATCTACCAAGGAAAAACTTATTGCATACAAGTTCCTGATAGATGTTGGATTCCCTTACATATCTTTAGAGCTTGCTCTAATGGTTAAAGGTACCAAATTAAGTTACTATAGTTACTCAGTTGCTAGGCTATAGTGGATGTTATTGTTATTGCTAACTGTACTAATTTATCCAGGAAGTTACACATATCACCCTCAGATGAAAACATTGTGATTTCTTGGGGTAATAGCCATCACTATATTACAGTATGAAAGAGGACATAGAGAACCAACAACAGGAAAATAATATGAGAAGGGCAAACCATACAACCACTTAAGCAGAGGGAAAACACAGAGAAAGAACAACAGACAAATAATATCAGAAAGATAAGCCAATAAATATGAGTTACATCATCAATGTAATTGGTCTCAATTCACCAATAAAAAGAAATAGTAAAAAATGGTTCAAGAAGCAATATCCAACAATACGCTGCAAACAAGAAACATACTTATCTCAAAAAATCTACAGACTAAAAGTCAAAGAATGCAAAACAACATAGGCGACAATAACCTGAAAAAGTAGGGGTACCTATTCTATTTGCAGACAACATGAACTTCAAGCCAAGTCTGACAAAAAAAAAAAAAGAAAGACAAAGGAAGTCATTACATACTTGTTAAGGAAAAACACTGACAACAAGAGATAGCAATCAATATATATGCACCAAATACCAGTACACCCAACTGTATAAAACAAACATTAACAGACATGGAAAAACCAATTAAGCACTAATGCAATTGTAGTGGGAAATCTCCATACACCACTGTCACAAATAGAAGGATCAACTAAAATAAAAATCAGC